AGCCAGGGGAGGAGTAGAAGAGGGGATTTGTTAGGTTAGATTTCCAGGTGCCTTTTGGTTCTATGGATGTCTCAGGTCCAGTTGCTGCCTCAAAGGAGTGGCACTAAGAAAGTAATAAACAAACAACTCCCCCTGCTTTGAGTGAGGGCTCTGTCAGTTTGCTGCACCCAGAGCATCCTCAATAAAAAGGGCAGCAGTGTGGCACCTGAGGGCATCTGGGAATGCCAGGACCTGTGTCCCAGCAGCAACATGATGCTTACATTTGTTTGGTACCTCTCTGTGCATGTCTAGAGGGTTTCCTGGGGCAGTAGAGATGGCATTTGGTGGAATCTCATGCACACAAATGCCCTGGGAAGACAGTGCTTACACTGGTGCAGCTTGGTCTGTCTTGTCCTTTTATGTCACTGGTCTTTAATAAATCCACTGACTTTGGAAAGAAATGTGTGTTTTGAGCATGGCAATTGTCAGACCTATAGAGATCACAGGAGTGTGAAAGCAGACACGGAACCTGCACAGGAACAAGGGCAGACTCCCAGAGCAATAGTGTTAATGGGAGGGACAGGCTGGGGGGACCAGAGGGTGGCACTGGAATAGATCTGGAATGCTGCAAGGAGGTGTCACCTCCCAGCTGGCCCTTAAGCACCTCCTGTGGGTGCTAACTGGGACAAGATGGAGCTCAGGGTCCTTTGAGCAGGACTGTTCCCTGGAAAGGAAAACTTGAAGTGTTCTTGCCATAAACATTGTCAGAAATGTCTGGTGTGGGGTCAGCATGGACAGGAAGCCCTCAGGATGCCCAGGAAATGTCAGTGTTGCAATCTGCTCCTCAGCATCCTGGGTGGTTCAAGGAGCTGAAAGCTTCCTGTTTTCAACTCGTGGTAGATGATGTCTAACACAAACAGCTCATTTTTTTTTTTTTTTGAAAGGCAACAAGTTCTTCTGGGGAGCTACACATGAGGCTGTAAAACTGGAGAAGAAGGAAGAACAATAATCCCCTGTATCTGTTTTTCTTCCAGAGAACTTCCATTTTTTTTGACCGTTTTGCCATTTTACAGTCTTGGGCTGCAGTTATTAAGCTAAGTCACTTCTGAAGTTTCTAGGAGGAAAATGTTAAAAATGTATTATGCTGTGTCCTTTAACTTCTGTAGAGTTTATATAAAACCAGATCTCTGTAGTTCTTTAATACATACACAAGATGCACAACATAAATATTTATTTTTGAGGGCTCATATTTCAGCACTTTGAGTAGCTTCTGTCCTGAACAACTTGGAAACAAGAAAAGAAATCAGATTCCTTTTCATTCCCTCAATTTCAGGGCAATTTTCTGTAAGACAAGAACTTCTGCTGCCTGCCAAGTAGGAATAGTGTACAGTTGTTTCAGGAGCTGAGCCCCTACGTGCACAATATAAAGTTGCATGGATAAGATTGCAGGAGAGAACTTGCTCATGTAGAAAACAGCTACTGTTTTTGAGCTGTTTAGTTACAAATGAAATCAACTGGAAAATTTTGGGCTAACCAGGCATAATGTTTCTTTATGTAAACCCATGTTTGGCTTTCATTGTGAGGGCCCTTTAGAGGTCACTTGGTTTTATATTGCTTTTTGAAAGTCTGTTCCTCTGATTGCTGTGAGTTTTCTTCTAGTCCTCCTCCCTCAGAGGTGTGTTCCTGTGTTTAATTTTATGTCCTGTAAATTTTGATTAAGCTGGTGCTGTACTTTGAGACAAGGCTCAGAGTGTCTGCTCAAGACCAGATTTGCCTCTGAGGCAACCCAGGGTTGTAAACAGCCTAAATCCAGGCTGTCCTTACAACAGCATCTCACAGTTGAGTTACAAGTGTCCTGTGTCATAGGTACATGAGTGGTTGCCTCTGATTTATCACATTTGATCTTGGCAAAATCAGGTTTAGGTTTGTGGCCCCCTTCCAACCCAGGGTATTCTATGATTCCATGCCCAATGGGTGCCTGATTTGCCATCCCACATGGTGGGTTGTGCCCCAGCAGTCACTCAGCTGATCTGCCTGGGCTTGCAATGCCATGGCCACCTGCCTGATGTGAGCCACGGAGTGGTGGAATGTGAAAGGGAGAAAAAAATGTTCTCCTCTACCATCAAATCTCTCTTGGCCTCTGCTCCCTCCAGACTTGCACAGAACCACACTAACAAAACTAAATGACAGGAGCAGTTGACTTGGGCTGTGTTAACATCATGGATGTTTGGATGGAAAATACAGGTCTTGATCCTCACAAATCACGTGTGGGAAACACTAACTTAGTTTTGCTGCTGCTCCTTTTTGTTCCTAGGTAGCAGTCAGATTATTTTCTGAAAATGATTCAGTAATTATGTCCCCAGGTTTTGGAGATTAACTGCTTGACTGACGAATTTCTTAGTCTGATCTGCACCACACCAGTTATGGATGCTTTTGAGGATTTTCAGTGTGATGTAGCCTGTAGTTTCCAGGGTCATCCTTCTTGCCCGTCTTGAAAATCAGGACAGTGTTCGCCAGCTTCCAGTCAGCTGGGACCTCTCCAGATTCCCAAAACAGCTCAAAAATCAAGAGAGGCCTTGCAATGACATCAGCCAGCTCCTTAAGTATTCTCGGATGAAAACATGTTTTGAGGAGGGTGGCTCTGGCTTTTGAGGCTTGTAGGCTGTTATTGCTCTCATGGCTACAAACCCTCTTGCAATTCTCAGCCTAACTGGGTTCTGGGCCAACCTGCACCCATTTGTTCTCATGCCACCATTGTCCTCTCACTCAAATGGCTCCTCTCCCCGCCCCCGCTGTGGCTCTTCCTCTCCCACCCACATATTTACACCAAGATATTCCCTTCTACCTGTGTTTTTAGCCATATTAAACAAACCAAGCCCTCTGTTTCCTGGTATTATGTGAAGGTGTACGTGAAGATTAGCAAAGCTTGCAATGATGCATCCAAAGAGGCTCTTTTCAGGGTTGAAGGAACAAACAAGTTTTCCTCTTACCCTCTCGAGAGCAAGTTGTTACTTAGACATAAACGTGCTTTTAAAGGATGTTTCCCAAACAGCAACATTTTTCTGGAAGACTGGGGTCCTCGGTGTTTGCAGAGGTTTTTATAATCAGAAAACACAGCTCTTTTGGGATTGTCTTGAAGAGATGTTTTCTGTCTTGGCAAACACGCAGGAAGAAAACCTATTTTGCGAGGCTGATAGCGGATTACTAACAGATCTGTTTGTTCCCTTTTCTGCTAAAAAGAACATGTGATATCTAGGAATACTTCTAAAAACAACCCCACGAGGGCAGTTTGCTTGAGATAAAAGTTCTGTCTGGAGACTTGTGCGAGATGCCATCTTCTGTGAGGAGACAGCTTGGATGGCACAGTGACAGCAGACAAACAGCTACTGCTTGTAACACAGCAAACTACGAGTGCCAAGAGCTGATGCTTGTCTATCTGCTTCAAACCAGGGTAAAAACAAAAGTGAGGGAGGTTAAGAGGAAAATTTTTAAATGCCACACCTGAATGTGTGTAAAAGAATGTACAGACTTATAAATTCTAAAGCCAGGATGTGTTCTGTAGATTAACCAGAAATACTCAATTTTAGTTTTAATGAACCTAATGTCTTAATATGGGCACTTGCTCCTGTTGCCACCTCCCAGGAGATGAGCAGTTGCTCCGGGTAGTGTGTCAGGCAGGTGGCAGGGGCAGCACCCCATAACACAGTGAGATGCAGTTGCTGTGTGTTTTAATTTTTGGGAAATGAGCCTGTCATGGTTTGAGCCAAATGCTGCTGAGGTATTTGTTGAGTTCACACTTACTGGACAATGCTCTTAATAACGTGCTTCGACTTTTAGTCAGCCCTGAAGTGCTCAGGCAGTTCTACTAGATGATGGTGTAGGTTCCTTTCTAGCTCTAACTATTCTGCAACGCAATTGCTTCAAAATGTTCCTTTCCACCACTAAAATGCCCTTTGGATATTTGTCAGGTGGTGTTTGCCCTGGATGTCTGGAAATCACTGTGCTAGTAGGCAGCTGGTCCCAAATAATATTTCACTTACTGTGTTTGAAACCCGGCACCCAGCCTTTGTCTCATGGGGTCCCACCTGATCCACCCAGAGCAGAGTGGATTTTAATCCACAGATTAACAGACTGGAGTTTAATGCTATGTCAACCAGTAGCTCCTGCCTTATATTTTGCACAGAACAAAAACTCTCCTCAAAAAAATATTAGAGAATGGTTTGAGTTGGAAGGGACCTTAACGATTATCCCATTTCACCCCCTGCCATGGGCAGGGACACCTCCCACTAGCTCAGGTTGCTCCAAGCCCCATCCAACCTGGCCTTGGACACTTCCAGGGATCCAGGGGCAGCCACAGCTTCTCTGGGCAACCTGTGCCAGGGCCTCCCCACCCTCACAGGGAAGAATTCCTTCCCAATATCCCATCTATCCCTGCCCTCTGTCAGTGGGAAGCCATTCCCCCTTGTCCAGTCCCTCCATCCCTTGTCCCAAGTCCCTCTCCAGCTCTCCTGCAGCCCCTTTAGGCACTGGAAGGGGCTCTCAGGTCTCCCTGGATCCTTCCCTTCTCCGGGTGAACCCCCCCAGCTCTCCCAGCCTGGCTCCAGAGCAGAGGGGCTCCAGCCCTTGGAGATTTATGTCCCTTCAGGAACACTGCGAATCCAGCAAATGCAGCTTAAAACCAGTTATACAGATTAAGAACAACTGGACGCTGGAATAGTCCTGGGATTAAACTGTGTCATCAGCTTCAGCTGATCTTGCGCCGGCCAAGTATTCCTTATGCACAGCGCGTCAGTGCAGGGCTCTGGAAGCGAGGGGTCCTCCTTATGTTTAGCACTCAGCCAGGGATAACTGACAAACCAGGTGGGCTCACAAACTGCTTTTTTTTTTTTTTTTTTGCGAGTGGTGTATTTTAACAGTAACACCCCCCCCGGCATTTATAACATTTCAACGCCCCCCCTCCTTTAACGTGAGGGGAGCGCCTTTCCCGCCGCTCCTCCCTGAGGGCGGGAGCGCCCGGCAGGGGGCGGTAACCGCGGGGCGGAGCGGCCGCGCCGGGACCCGGGAGGAGGAGGAGGAGGAGGAAGGAAAGAAGGAAGGAAAGAAGGAAGGAAGGAAAGAAGGAGGCGGCGGCAGCAGGAGCGATGGTGAGCGGGGAGTGCGCGGGGAGAGAGACACAGGGGTGTCCCGGCGCGGCCTGTGAGGCTGCGAGGCCGGGGCCTTGTCCGGCGCGGTGGCGTGGGGGCGTCGCGGTCGGGCCTCGGCGAGGCCCGTGCCCTTCCTCTAAACCTGGATGTGTCCCTCTTGTCCATGCACTGCTTCCCTTATATCCCACAGTTTCAGGGCGGGGGGGGGTTAGGAAGGGCGTTTTCACCTGTCTCTGTGTATTCGTAGCACCCAGCTGGGGTAGAAATCGTGTTTTCCTCTGAGATTTTGGTGAAGATGCCTGTCTGGCTGATAGACATCCTGTTTGCTTATTGATTATAATTTTTTTTAGAGGCCCTGTTTGCGTATTGACTCCTGGTTTTTTAGAGACTCTGTTTTCTTATTGACTATCATTTTTTTTTAGCTAGAAGCAAACTTCACGATTGCTTGGAATACAGCCGGCTCCGGCACGCCGCGGCATGGCATGTATCTTCCAGTTCCTCAAACCTGGAAAGGGCACTAGTTTTTTTTTTTTAATCCATCAGGAGGGTACTTTGAAATCACAGCTGCTGCTGAGTGATAGATGAAACAGCATTATCTGTGTCCTGCTGCTTTTTCCCGCTCGGTCGTGGTCTCTCCATTCCCAAACACTCAAGTGCTGCTGCTTCTTCCCACTCTGGCGTGGAGCTGTGCCTGGGACAGCACGGCTTGTGTTCGGGTTGGTTTCAGCTGCCAAAATTTGGAACTGGGTAAATGCTTCGCATCTTGTGCACGGGGTGGTCCAGACTGGCCTGGGGCTGCTGGAGCCCTGCTGTGTGGTCAGGCTGTTCTCCTTAGTCCCTCTGTGCCAAGGCTTTGCAGGGAAAGCTGCTACTTATTGCACCTGGAAGACCTGCTCAGGTCTGCTCTTTTATTCATTAGATTGGACAGTAGCTATTGCACGGGATTCCTGGTTTCTGTAAAGTTAGGGAAGTTGGCTTTGTACTCAGGGGCTGAGTGTTTCTCTGGAGAGACACTAACACATAACATTTTTCCTAAACTGGGGTTTTACTCTGCGATCCTTCCCACAACCTTAGCAAAACAGAGCATGAGGCACTGGAAATCTTACCTAGGTGGAGAAAAATGTTGCTTCTCCCATGGGCTGCTCACTTCCAGCCGTCTCGGAGCTTCCCACCCTCTTACTCCCCTTAGAATTCCTAGCTGAACTGCTGACCTGAGCAGGGGGGAGGGTCTGCTGAGGTGGCTGACGCCTTGCTCCCTGCCCTGGATTTCTCCAGCGCTGTCTGGTGGTGTGGAGATAACCCCAATCACAGCGTTTATTGTGTGTGGTTTGCCTGCCGTGGCAGCGATCACAGCCTTGCTGTGACTCCTGTGGTAAAAGGGATTCAGTAGAGCCCCTTTCTGTGTAAGGAGTTTGAGGTGCTGCTCGTTTCTTCTTCCAAGCACACAGTTCTGGCAATAAAAAGGTGTAGCTTCCATCTGATCATCTTCTGCACCAGCTGCTCCCACCACAGACCCCTGGCATGCACTGGGGGTTGTCTCAGAAGGCCTGATCTGTTCACACACTGGTTTTGGAAATGGAATGATGTGGTTTTTTACCTAGAACTGCTGAGAAGGACTTGGGGGTGCTGGTGGGCGAGAGCTGGATATGCCCCAGCTGTGTGTGCTGGCACCCAGAACCCCCCTGCTCTGGGCTGATTCCACAGCAGGGGCAGCAGAGCAGGGGGGGATTCTGCCCTTCTGCCCCTCAGGTGAGACCCCCCCGCCCTGCAGAGCTGCCTCCATCTCTGGGGAACAGCACAGGAAGGACATGGAGCTGCTGGAGCCAGTCCAGAGGAGGCACCAAGATGATCAGAGGGCTGGAGCAGCTCTACTGGGAAGAAAGGCTGGGAGAGTTGGGATTGTTCACCCTGGAGAAGAGAAGCTTCAGGGTGACCTAATTGTGTCCTTCCAGGACCTGAAGGGGCTGACAAGAAAGATGGAGGGACACTATTTCCAAGGGCCTGAAGTGACAGGACAAGGGGGAATGGCTTCCCACTGCCAGAGGGCAGGGATAGATGGAATATTGGGACAGAATTCTTGGCTGTGAGGGTGGAGAGGCCCTGGCACAGATTGCCCAGAGAAGCTGTGGCTGCCCCATCCCTGGAAGTGTCCAAGGCCAGGTTGGATGGGGCTTGGAGCAACCTGGGCTAGTGGGAGGTGTCCCTGCCCATGGCAGGGGGTGGGACTGGATGAGCTTTAAGGTCCCTTCCAACCCAAACCAGTCTGCGATTCTACAGTTCTATTGCTCCCATTCCTTGCATCCCAGGCAGTCCAAGACATTCCCTTTCACAGAGCAGCAGACCTTCCTCCTGGGGTGTTTAGTACTGAAATCTTTGTGTGCTGGCCTATGCCTATGGCCTGTACTGGTTGGTGTTCTGAGAGAGGGGCTTTGAAGTATGTCTTAGTCCTGTCCTTAGAACGTGGTGTGGACTGAGATTTAGGATTCTGTCACTTGATCCAGTAGCAGGTGTGCTGGTCTCTTTGCTGTCGTTATTGTGATACAGTTATTGTTCCTCAAGGAAGATTTATGTTTCCTAGAAATTTGCAGGTAAAAGCTGCTTGGAATCCTTTGTGTTCTGAGCGTTTCCTTTGCCTCTCTCTCATCGAGATCCACCTGTGCCACGTGAGGAAGGGCATGGGATGAGGTATCACGGGGTCAAAAGGTTCTGCGTGTTGGTGTTGATGAGATAATTTTTGAGGATCTTGCCCTGTGGACAGACTTGCCCAAGAGCAGGGCCCTTCACGTATAATAGCAGCATTCAGTTTGTGCTGATACTGGGGGCTTTGTCAGAGGCTTGCATAACCCTGCTGGGAAGCTGTGCCAGGGCTTGGTGCTGCCTTTGTTCGTGGATGCCCGTCTTCAGAACAATTGCCATGCCATGCTCTGCTTCCAGACAGCTCCCGCCAAGGCTTTATCCTTTAATGCTGCGTGTGCCCCTGTGTGGCACTGTGCTACTCGCAAAGTGTTTCAAATAAACACCCATTTTTATTCTCCAGAAGTGATCCACAGCTGAGAGGATGCCAAGTGGAGGGATGAAATATGTCCAGATGAGTCCCAGCACGCAGGGAACCAGGCTCTTCTTTTATCCTAATTATCACGGGTGCAGTGAGAGGATGTTGCCTTGCACATTCTTGGACCTGGTGGCCCACAGAGATCCACGATGGGTTTATGTACAGCACTGACTGTGTGAATCCCTGTCTCTTGTGAGATCTGTTCTGCCTCGAGTGTGCCCAGATGTTTGCAGAAACTTATATAAATTGATTTGTTGTAGTGAGCAAAGAACACACTCAACACCACCTTGTGCATCTTTTGCGTTAAATGAAATTCGAACTGGCACCTGATTTTGGAGTCCTTTGGATTACTGTAAAACTGTCCATTTTTTGAGCCTCGAATCAGCCTTGCTCCATCTTGTTTTGATAGTTTTACATTCCTTCTTTGCAGTGGAAGCTGGAATGCTGCCGCTCTTACTCTGAGCTGCTGCCTTGTTTGTTTATGTGCTGAAGCTATAATTAGCTATTGTTTAGCCACTCCTCTTGAAATCTCAGGGCTGGTGGGATAGTATATACATACCTTCATTTTGCTGACACTGTACATGGCAAAAAAACCCACCCAAAATTGCTGTTGTTCTGGAAAAAGTTTCAGTATGGCAGTGGTGGAAATAAATGCAGCACAGACAAAACTGGTGGTATTGGGGAGCTGTGGTAAGACATTAGCGTGTCCTGAATATGTTTTTCTTTCACTTAGTTCAGCCCATACAACTGAAAGTTCATGATTTTTGATTCCTGAGAGGTCCTGCATCCTGTGTCGCTCCGTGTGCCCACATCCTTTGGTGACTGAGGGGGGGGGAGGCAGCACGTGGTCCAAACCTCGAGCTGTAATTAGGAGCTGACTAACAAATATTCTCTGCCTGGTGCTTGTGTAAAGATATTTGTCACGCTGGGGGTGGCAGGGAGGGAGGAGCAGAGTCATTACCGGGGTGCGAATCAAAACACTGCAGGCACACGCAGCACCCTCCGAGGCTGGGGTGGCGTTGCTCAATCCCATTCCCTGGCTCTCCTGTAGGAAGCTGCCAGGCTGGTGGCTGTGAGTCCAGTCCCTCCCTGCGGCCAGGCCAGTTACACCGTGTAGTTACACCAGTCTGACGTGCCTTTTGTGGCCAGAGCACGTGCAGGCAGCAAGGTGCCAGCTCGGGCAAGGCTAATTGGGCTCTTCCTTCTACTTAGAAGCAGAATAAATAAGCGAAGCTGCTGTGTGGTTGCTGGCTCTGTGCAGTTTGTTTCCGGTCAGGAAGCTTCTCCTTGGAAAAACTTGTTGTATTGGAGCAGAGGCTTTAATTACAGTGGCAGTACCAGTATTCCATGTGTTCCCATCCTCAGGGTTGACCTGGCTGGTGCTGTCTCTGAGCCATCTCTCTTGGCCTTGATTTACTACGTACTGAGTAGTGTGACATGTCACCTTCTTCCTTGGCTCTGGTGATGTGAGGGAAGACAGATGGCAAACACAAACATTAAGGTTCGCCATGGGGAGGTGTTCAGAGTGTTCCTGGTTTGGGAATATGTGTGGATTCAGGTGAAAGCTGAGAATGTGCTGTAAACTGACAGACAGTAGGTTTAGATTGGATACTGGGAAGAAATTCTTCCCTGTGAGGGTGGTGAGGCTCTGGCACAGGTTGCCCAGAGAAGCTGTGGCTGCCCTTGGATCCCTGGAAGTGTCCAAGGCCAGGTTGGATGGGGCTTAGAGCAACCTGGGCTAGTGGAAGGTGTCCCTGCCCATGGCAGAGGGTGGGATGGGATGGACTTTAAGGTCCCTTCCAACCCAGGCCATTCTGTGATATTAGCAGTTCCTACTTGCACAGTCAGCCTGAGACTCATGATATTGCATAAAATAAACTTGCCTTTAAAAGCTACTTTTATTCTGTGGCCCACGTTAAATGCTCTTCTGGTGAAAGGAAGATTGAACTGATAAAACCTTTCTTCCTGCTCTTGCCACAGGTAAACTTAGACAGTGCTTCCACTTTACAGTGTCAGAAACAGGAGGCACTTGTAACAAAACTCTGGGGTCCTCCAGTTTATTGCCTTTCTGTTTCTCTCTCTCTCTCTTTTTTTTTTTTTTTTTTTAAGCTTATTCGAGT